TATTTACATTTTTCTCTTTGTTAATTTTCATTTTTGTTTTCAGTTTGATATGGGAGATGTACTTATTGCCGGTAAACCCACTGGTATGTGTAGAAAATGTGTTAGCAGAAGTGACAAGTTGTTCTTCCCATGATGTATTGTTGGCATTTTCATTAATGCGTTATAGTTTCAATTTATTTGGTCTGACCTGATCTAATTGTCTATCAGGATATTGTGCTGATGGTTGTTCAGCCATTGCAGACTCAGGGACTTCTTTGTTGGCAGGTCCAACGGTATGAATGAATTCTTGTAGATATAGATTAATATTTATATAGTTTTCAATTTAACATGGTTATATTATATGCAGCAGTTTTCCCATGAGACACTGTCTCTGTCAGTTCATGATAATAATTTTTTTTAACAATTAGTGCATTGTTTATAATTGCCATATGAAAAAAGGTTAAACAAATGCTTCTGACTGACTTGTTTCTACGATCACATTTTTTGTTTTGTTCTTGAAGACTGTAATAACTATGATTAACCATGCAATTGGAGCATCTGGAGTTATAAGCCAAGAATGCAGGGTGCGGGGAAGGGGGGTGCGGGGAAGGGGGTGTGGGATGCGGTAAACGGGGATGCGGGGAAGGAGGGTGTAAATTTAGAAATTTCATTTTTTTAAGGGTAATTTAGACTTTTATATATATATTTTTTTAAAAAGGAGGTGTGTTTATCATCCTGTAGCTGCCTCTAGGTCTTTTTATTTTATTTTGTTTTTGTTTTTGACGTGAATTTTTCTATATACGTGCATTTAAAACGCCGAATCAAACACACATAATATTCATCAACAATGGCGTAAACATCCCCGAAAGCCTCGTGAAGAAATCCACAAAGATGCTTCTCGCCAAGGCCCTCATCAAGGAGGTTGTCAACATCAAACCTTCAATGTGATACTTTAAAGCGTGATTCTAAATTGCGGTTGCCATTGCGGTAACTATGATACTGCATTTACTACGATACTAATTGCAAATGTAAAATTATTATATATTTGTATGAATATAAATAAATAATTAGATTTTTTTTTTACTCAAAATCTTTTCTTCCTTTTCTTAAAATTCATCATACACATTCCAACATTTTAACCAGTTTTCATTAGTTATTTTTCTTGTTTCATTAATATCTCATGTGGCCAAATTTATTAGAATAGAAGATTAAGAATTGAATATATGTATATGCAACTTTGAAATTTGATTTGCAAGGAGATTAGTGGGTTTGGTGCTGCAATGTTGCACCAAATCCCATTGTTGCAAGCGACCAGATTAAGAGGTTCTGTTGCAGTTTCTTGTGTTTATTGTGAGGAATTTCGTTCTGGAGGCATAATATGCTTTGTCCTGGTTATACCAAATTGCAATTTTATATGAATTGTTGTGCATTGTGATAGCAGTAACTAAACATTTATTATAACTGGTATCTTATGATGCAGAAACATGTAAGTAATACAATTTGCCTGCCTGTGTTGGAGAAATCTAAATCCAGGAAAGCTGCAGATTTGGGTGTGTGAGAGAGAAACAGATTCCTAGTGACACTGAAATTAATACTGAATCTCCCAACTAGTAGCTATGGATTTACTTAAGATGTCTAATATGTTTATGATCTTATACATGTTGTAATTAATAATAGTTTAGAAGAGTTAAAAGTTTTTCTACTGAATGACAGTCTACAAATGAATAAACAAAGATAGAATTTGTAGCACTCAAAAGATTCAAAGAATGAAAGAATTATTACATTCAATTACCACCTGAGTCAGTTTCAGATATCTCATTATTTCCTCTTAATATGGCATGGCAATGTCCGTGTGTTAATAAAAGTCTGTTATGTTCTAGTCTTTGATATTCATTTATGTATTTCAATTTGCTGTTTCTAACTGGCTTGGAAATCTTTGATCCCTCTCTCCATGCTTTCTGGATGATTTCCTCACTCTTCTTGAACTTTCGTTACTGAGGGTGTCTGGGACAGCAATCCATAGTAAGCTATGATATACCGATACGATAGGCGTATCGGATACGACACGTATCCGATATGACGATATGATTAATTTTAAAATATATAAGATACGATACGTGTCATCATATGTATCAATGTTCATACAATATAATAAATATGTACTTGTAATTTTGATGAAAATTCATAAACATTAAATATATAATTGCTATTTTGAAAATATAAATTAAAAAAATATTTATTGTATATTAATAAAAATAAATAAATTATAAATCATATCATCATAAATTACTTTTTATTATTTACAAATAGAAATAATACTACTAATTTTCATTCCTTTCTTATAATTATCTATATAGAAGATAATTTTCATTTACAGTTCATCAATGACCAATATTTCTATGTTTTTATATTAAACATGTTTATATATCTTATTTAGCTGTAATGGATATTTCATAATTTTTAAAAAATTTGAATACTTTATCCATACGTATCATCAATAAGTATCGGTGAAGTATGTATCGGAATTTAATAAAATTTTCATAATATTTTTAAAAGTTAGGATACTTATTGACACGTATCGGTCAAGTATCCAAGAATATCATATTGAATACGAATACATGAAGCAAATTGAAGGAAGATTATCATGTCTTTTGTTTTCTGCATGGTTGAAAGATGAAAGGTATGCAAGCGATAATCATGTTGTTAAATCAAATTTATACGATTGACGATTCGATGGTACCTTATCGATTCAATTTGGAACTTACCAATGAATACCATGTATTATACGATACAAAAGCATAGGGGAGCTACATAAGTTTTAGACAACTTGAAGACATGTTAAGAGAAGGCTTTATAATTGAAAAACAAAATGTTTCTATTATATATATAAGATATAGAGAAATGAGTTGGAGAATGATTTAATAAGTGAGAGAAAATATATAAAAAATATTTATATGTTTATGCATTTATAATTCATTTTATATGTTTAATAAAAGAAAATTCATAATAAAAAAAAATAGCATAAATAGGAAGAAGCGGCGGATGATGAAATTCTAAAAGGAAATAAAGGAACAAATTATTTTATAATTTCAATTTATGTTGCAATATTTTTATTTTGTTGAAAAATTTTTGAAAACGATTTTTTCTTTTCGTTTCAATTTTGGCTTATTTTTCGAAATGTTTCCATAGAATTTTTTTTAAAACTTAAACAAACATGTTTTTACAATTATTTTCTATTTTTACCAAAAATAAAAACAAAAAATGGATATATCAAATAATCCTTAATTATTTTCTAACTATTAGATCAATATCTTTGTTGTAAACCAATTTTCTTTTTTCACTAGGATTTATCACATTCAAGTTAGAGTACTTAAGTAATGCATTTGTGTATCTTTGATTCAAATTTGAGATCTTTATTTAAGTTAGAACAATTTTATAAAAGACAATTTACTTACTTAGAATGGTAAAAAATTCTTCATTTGTTTACTAATTAAGGATGTTCAATCTACATGTAATCATAAATTCGATTTTTGATCTTGTATATGAAAAACATTTTGATGTCTCCTATAAGAGGCAATTTTGTTCAAGTAGGCTAGAATCATTATGAGTGATAAAAATTTTCCTTGAAATATTTAATGCAACTACATATCTAGAATACAAATTTGGGGCCTCCAATATTGATCTACATGCTTGGTAGCAATAAAAATAGATAATTTATTAAAGATTAATTTTAGTAATTATTTGAGTAAAGGTATATAAATATAACTAGTGTTTTAACTTTTACAATATTTAAGATAAATGTTTAATTTTATAAAATTAAAATGTATAAAAAATAAATATTTTTGAATATATAAATTATATAGTCTATGATCTTCTATTTCATTTTTTAAGATTTAATTGATCCTATATTTTTAAAAAATATTTTAATTATTTATCTTTTTAATTTGAGTCAATTTGATTATTTTAAAAATAGTGATTATTTTCAATTTGTGACATAATTTTAAATTCTATTTTAATTGATTCAAAATGTGAAATTTGTTTTATTAATTTACCAATGTAAGAATTATTGAACTCAACTAAGGTTTGAGCTAAAACAAATAACACATGATGAAAATTGTGTGAAAATGAATTCAACAAGTAACTAAAAAATTAGATAACTATTGTTATATTATTTTCTAGTTGTTTATAAAATTTATTTTTCACATAATTTTCTCTATATTTATATCCATTCTAGTTCAAACACCAATTAAGTTAAACTTAAGAAATATAATGAGACAAATTATGTCTTAAATTAATTAAAAAAAATATTCAAAACTGTGTCACAAAATTAAAATGATAATTATTTTAAAATATCAAATTGATCCAATTTAAAGAGACTAAAGATCAAAATAAAAAATAAAAAATCAAAATGAATATTAAAATTAAGACAAAAGATAAAAAAAATAATCTAGTCAATTGTAAATAATTAAAGTTCATAATAATAAATATTTTAACTTATAATTTATATTTTTACGCAATAGTAAATAATTTAGATTGTTATATAATATTATTTTTATCTATTAAAAATATTAAAATTTACTTTTAAAAATGGATAAAAAAAATTAAAGCAGGTAAAAAAAAATCAAGTGTACAAATAAATACAAAAGAAAAGTTGTATGAGATAGTCGATAAATAATTTTGTTAATTGTATTTTGATTTACAATAAATATTTACATAGTGATACAAATAAAATGCTTTTTACCTATCGATAATTTTCTTAAAAAAATATATTGAAAATTAATTCAAAAAATGAAAAGATAAATAATTAAAGAAAATTTAAATATTCGTATAGAAAAAATCAAAATTAAAATAACATAAAAGTAAGACTAAAACTGAAGAACAAATGAATCTAAATTACTTTAAATTATATATATTTTACTTTTAAATAAAAAAACGATTAGATGATAAATTAAAAATTAGAAACACTGAAATAATTAAATAAAATATTTTTTCTGGGTCATAAAAAATGGGTGCTTGTTTTGGAAACCTGTAACTTATCCGAAAAACGTTAATAGTGCGATGTGGGTCGCCATGGCTGCTTCCTCCGTTATCTGTGACATTTCACTAACCTTTAGCTTCAGACACAGGCTCATATCCCTCAAACCCTTCAACAGAGTCATTGTTTCTCATCTCTCACTTTACCATTTTGCCCTTCCTTCTCCTTCTCCTTCTCCTTCGCTTTCCTTCCAAGACACTCGAGAACAACCCCTTGAACGTGAAACCTTACTAAAATCAAAGCCAAAGGCAAACCAATCGGAGAGGCTCTATGTAGGAAACTTGCCTTACGCATTGCTCTCTTCCCAGTTGGCTCAGCTGTTTGGAGAGGCTGGCAATGTTGTATCCGTTGAGGTTTTGTTTTTTCCTTTCTTAAAACTGTTTTTTTTTTTTTTTGCATTTTTTTGGTGATTCTTTTCTTGTTTGTTTGATTAATAGATTAAGATTTTTGTTTTGTGGACGATATAATAAATTTCTCTAGAAATATTTATAGGAAAAGAATATAGGAAGTAAATGAGAAATTAGCTTCTTCATGAGTTAAAATTAATTTATATATGAATTAATTTTTACTGTACTTTTTGTCACTTATATTTTATAATTTCATAAATTTTGCCATCCAAATTTTAAAATTGTACATTTTTCCATCTAAATTTTCATAAGTTTGCTCATTGTGCCTAACTACTACTAACATTGTTAGATAATAACTTGATACATTGATTGATGTGACATATTGATTGTAGATGCAGCATGTTGATTATTGATTTAATATATTGATTGATGAAATAAATTGTTAATATGACATATGAATGATGATATAATATTATGTGTCATGTCAAGTTTTATCGTAGCTCATCAACAATCAACTTGTCACATATTCACTAATGGTGACAAAATGTGCCATTTCAAAAATTAAAATTTGTGTAATTGTGAATGTTGGGTGCCAAAAACTTGTAGGATAGAGTTTTTGTAAGTTAACTTATGCAGATTACGTTTGTGCGTTTTTGGTGGTTGAATTATGTAGATTGTGTATGATGACATAGCAAATAGAAGTAGAGGGTTTGCGTTTGTTACAATGGGGAGTGTGGAGGAAGCTGAACGAGCGATTCAAATGTTTGATGGCTCGGTAAGTCTCATACACTAATATCAGTGATTTTCGAATGAGTGATTCGTTGTTCATTGAAAATGAAATAGTCCAGATCGCAAAGCAGGGTGCTCTTTCATTTTGCTACTAGCTAGACTATTCTGTACGTATGTATTATGTGTTTGGATTTGGTTCAGTTGAAATGAGGGTACAATGCGGAATTATAACCTTTGATTGCAAAATCAATGGAATGTGATAAAATACATGCGCATGTATTTGGAGCTGGACATGTCCTGATTAGCTGGGTTTTGAGTTATTCTAATTTGAGTTTGTTTTGTCTTATTATGTCATTGTCATATTGGATGGCAATTTAGTAATCTATTGAGACGGTGAAGATGGAGGTGAACAGGTCTCCGTGTTCAGTGAATATAGAAACAGGATTAATAACTTGTTGCATAATCAAGGGTTGGTTATGAAATAGTTAGATCAAAGTTCAGTTTTCCATGTCTTATTATCATTTATGTAAAAGATATCCACCTTCTTATCATTTTGGGTCTTGGTTTAGGAAATATCATATAAAAGACCATAAAGGACACAACCAGGCCATGAAAACCCTTTTATGCCAATCCAGCTTTCTGTTCAAAATTACCTTCACAATTCAATTGTTTGCTGTGCTGTACATGCGAGCAGAATTCATTCTGATGGTAATGGTTGTGATGATAAATAGGAAATTGGAAGTAGGATTATTAAGGTAAACTTCACACGAATACCCAAAAGAGGCAAACGGCTAGTAATGGGCTCCAACTACAGAGGCTTTGTAGACAGTCCTCACAAGATTTATGCTGGAAACCTTGGTTGGGGTCTGACATCACAGGGTCTTAGAGATGCCTTTGCTGAGCAGCCAGGCTTCTTGAGTGCCAAAGTCATCTATGAAAGGAACAGTGGAAAATCTCAGGGATATGGGTTTGTCTCTTTTCAAACTGCTGAGGATGTAGAGGCTGCTTTAAATTCTATGAATGGTGTGGTATGAACAATTTTGGAAGATTAGTTTTGCTATTTTGAATGCATCTTGTGATGTATTGATTTAACTATGTAACCACTTTCTTTGCATATGTAACATACTGTTCACAGGAGGTTCAAGGGCGACCCTTACGACTGAAACTAGCTGCAGATAAGAAGACTTCATCTCCTCCAGTAATTCATGAAAATACAGGAAATAATGTTGATATCATGGAAATGGTGTTTAGTGTCAGCACATGAGGTATGTGAGATCATTGTTTTTATCCACAAAATGTGCATATTTTCAGTTAGCATTGCGTACTGTGATCTTCCTCACATTTCCAGTCAGTTGTTAGTTACATTGGCATACACTAACTACACCTTGAGAATATTTGAATATCTCTTTTGAATATCTCCAACCAGAAGTCTGGATGTGAAATATTAGGCTGATATGATTAAACGTTTATGTTTCAAACTTCAACCATATACACGCATGCTGACTTGGGTTGTTTTATTCAAAATTTAAATTGTAATGTAAATTCTGTTGTATTAAACTTAATTTAATCTTCCACTGAGATAGTCAGTCTAGAGATTTGACATGAACTCATCCAATGGAAATAGACCAGTGGCAGCTTACAATAGAGAAATGGTTAGAGATTCTTTTTGGCATGTCTCTAAGGCTATGGGTTTTCTTTTTCTTCATTATGGTCATGTTCATTAAGTTTGCCGTAAGGTAAATTAAAATTATTCAACCAAACAGTTTCTGTGGGATCAATCTACAGGGGATAACTGGAAACATTTGTGACAAAGGATTAGGCATGAACAATAGAAGAGAACCAATCATAGACAAGCATAATAATTGGGGTCAATGTGTTGTTAATCTAAATGTGTATATTTTGAACTTGCCTAGGTCATTTCACCTTTAATATGGTTCATTTTGTCAGCATTTGGGTATTTTGGAGTAATGATCCATTTGTTGGCTCGAGACAGTTGAGAACTCATTCATAACACAAGCAGGAGCTAAAAGAATTGCGGAGACATATGTCTTCACAATATTTTATGAATATGCAAAAGGGACCTTTCGTGCAGTGATTCAAATGGGAGATTCATCATTACACTTCATTTAGAAATTGCAAAAATTAGAGAACACCAAATCGAATAGGAGAACTACAAAGCTATTAGTATCATCTCTTCATTTCTTTTTATTAATAGAAAAGATTACAACGACAATGAATATTGAACCTAAATCCAAAAACTAGTATCATCTCTTCTTTTATATAAATTTAGTTACCAACGAAACTGAACAGTAAAATCACGGCAAAACAATTAGCAAGAAAATGTGGTGCCTGATAATTTGAAGGGCACTTTGTACCCTTCTCACATAGGCCTAAATAATAAACTAGTGTTTATATTATCCTTTTTCATTAAAATATTACTACCTTTTACATTTTAGGGTCTATGTAAGTTTTAATTATTGATTGATCTATTAATTTAAAATATGGAAGTTAGAAATATAAAATTAATTAGTTAGGATTAACGCTAATCCCAATTTGGTGGAAACAGTTACGTTCCTTGACGTCGGCTATCATTCTTGCTGACAAGGACGACTAATGTGAGAAAGACAATCCTCCTTACCATCGGAAACAAGGTATATCTTTTATTTTTATTTTTGTAACCAAATTTTAAGTGAACTTATTATTTCCTGGTTCTTTTACTTTGTTACAAAATATGTAAACTTGACATTAATATATTATTTGTTTAATGTGTGGACTTTTCAAAAATGATAAGGAAGATGCTATGTACTACTATATTGAAGAAGTTCAATCATTTTTTATAGACTCATGAATTCTTCTTCCTTTTGTTTGTTCAATTTATTGTCATGATGTTTTTTATTTACCCTTTGAGGTGTTTTTTTTTCAAGGTTTAAAAATTTGTTCCCTAGATTGGTGAATTTGAAAATGTTATATTTTCATATTTGTTGTGAGTTTTAAAAATTTATTCTCAGGTATTGTTCATGCCAGGGAAAGTAACAATACCGTGTTTTGCTTCATCTTTATTCCCATGGTGAGGTGAGGGATGAGAATGTTATAGTCCTATAGGAACATGGGATGTTATTAACTTATTATGTAATCCAATTACAACTTGTATTTCTAATTTTTTTCTAATCATTTTAAATTTTAAAAATATTCCTAGAAATATTTTTAAATGTGGTTTTCTGAATTTTAGGATGGTCCCTGAAAAGCTTACCCACCAAATCCCAACAAGCAAGGAAGGGAACCAACAACCTCCGGCCTGAAGTCCATGAAGAGGAAGAGTTGGAGGCTGGCATTCCTCAAGAGTTATTGGAGCCTCTAAACAAGACCAGAACCTTGATCAACAAAACCTCACTCAAACTCCATGAGCTTGTCTTCAACCTTGCTCAATTGAAAACCCTATCCAATTCTTACAAGAACCTTCAAAGAACCCTTCTCTAAAGATCAGAACACCACCCTAAACCCTGAACCAAGGTAAGGAAAGAAAGCACCTTGATGGGTAGCTATTTCCAAATTGGCCCTTCTACCTTAACTTCTTGATAAACTTTGAAAAGCTCTAAGGTAGGTGATGATATACAGTGAAGTCAGAAAAAATCTCTCTCTCTTGAAAAAATTTTCGAAATGTTTCTTGACTTGTTTTTCATAGAGAATGACAAATGATATTTATGGAAAATCATTTTCGTAAATGTAATGGATTAAAATATCTGAGTAATCATTAATTTGATCACCTTAATACTTCTAGACTTGTTTTCAAAATAGTTTTAATCGATTAAAATATGAATGTTTATGCCACTTATGGTCGGTTTAATCGATTAAAATAAAAATGTAATCAATTAATTTGTTTTTACAAAACTTAATCAATAACTCCCAATACTTTGTAATCGGTTAAGATAAATCCATCTAATCGATTAAAATAGAAAGTTTATCTTTTCGCAAAATAGAACTTGAATTTTTTGGTAGTTGATTAAACTCAAGTTATAATTAATTAAAACAGAGAAACATGGTTTGTCAGAAAAGAAGTTTTAAATGTTATTGATTAATACTATTCATAACTAATTACTCTGTTGTATAAGACACGTGTTTATTAATAAATCTTTTGTTAAACTTTTACTTAACATTACTTCGTGTTTGATTGATTTTGACTTTATAAAACTCTTGTTACATTGATTAGTTAAGTTTTAATCAAGGTAGAGAAGCAACCACTTCAAGCACTCAGAATCTAACCTATCTAAGCCTAACGAGAAGCACATTTAAAACATTTGAAACATAGAACAAGATACATGATTAAAAGTTAAAATTAAGTCTTCATATTCTTCTTTTGATTCTTTAATCACCGGTGTTAACTAACCTAGCATTTTTTTCTTTAAAAAATTAAATAAAATATAAATTATAAGATAAAATGGCCAATGAGTTGGGTCACAAAATAAGTGACTAGCATAAAATTCGAATTAGGATGGGTCAATTCATTTACAAATATTGACTTGTACAGATATAAATGGGTTAGTTCATTGACACCTCTAATAAGAATTAGAAAATGGGCATATTTACTAGGATGAAAAATATATTTAAATTATAAACTAAATGTTAATATATAAAAAATCTCACTATGAAAATTGATCTACGTAAACCGTCAATATAATTTCATCCAACAAATTTGGTAGGAAATGAATAGATTGAAATATTTTCTTTCATGAATCATCATAAAAACATGACACTAAGGGTGTGTTTGAAACCATTTACATTAATGCAAACGGGAATTCACACATTCCTATACATTAAATTAAGGGTGTTTTTGTTTTATCGTTTCAATACTGTTGAATGAAGTTTTTTGATTTTCCAAGACAAAAATGTAAAAATAAGAGAGGGATGCGTTGACATTCAGTTGGATGGAACGGAAAAACAAATACACATTAAAAAAGTAAAATTTTTTGTTTTTTTCATTCAACGTGATTTTGTTGATTTTCAAAGATAAATTAAACATGTATTAAGATTATACAAATTCCCACCAAAGTTGACACATGATACCACTCTTAAATCACCCTCACCTATGACTACCCTCCATTCGTGGAAGTGGCTTAAAGTAAGGAAAAAAGGATTTTATTACTCTTCGACAACATGGACGTGTAACTAGGGATGACAAATATACCCGTACCCGTAGGTAATATCTGAACCTATCCCGACTTTGACGGGAAATACCCGGTTTGACCGGGTATGGGTAAAACCCGATATATTAAATCAGGTACGGGTACGGGTATGTACTTACCTGCCCAGTACCCGTACCCATACCCGTCTCCGTTTTTATTTTTAATTTAATACCTACTTTCAATTTAATTATATTAAAGAATTTTAATATTTTTTTATGTGTGATTATTTATTATAATATGAGATAGAGAAATAACCTAATTATAATTATAAATATAATAAAAAATAATTTAAAAATATCATATATTTTTTACAAAAAATAAAAAATAAAAATTTTGACGGGTACAGGTACGGGTATACCCGATACCCTTAGGAACGGGGATGGGGATGAAAATCACATATCGGACGGATACGGGTACGAGAACGGGAATGAATTTGACTCGCGGAGACGGGAACAGGTATGATGAAACTCGTACCCGACCCGCCTGTTATCATCCCTACGTGTAACCCTTTAGAATCCATAAAAAAAATTCCTAAACAAAGTTCATAGCTTGTTTTGGAGGTTGTGTTGGGTTTATGATTTTATTTTTTTTTTGTGTAGTTGCATGTAGTTGATCATCTTTGTTTTGGCATGTTGCAATGCTGAAACTGATGAAGGCTATCCTTTATAGCTTTTGTATGTTGCCCTTATAGTTTGAGGTGTACTTTATTTCTTTGTCCTAATTTAAGGCACTCCTTATGCTCTTAATCAGCTCTTTTAATAAATTTTTTTGTTGTTAAAAAAAATTATTATTATTATTATTAATTTAAGATATCTTATCTTCTATACTTGTTTAAAGGTGTTTAAGAATTATTAATATTTATTAAATCCACCGGTGTTATACATAATCTTTAAATATTAATATTTTAAATTCAAGTCTTGAATTTATAAAAATAATTAATTTTTAATATTTTTTATTATTTAAAAATTTAAAGATAAAATAGTCCAAAAATTATATACATGAAAATAAATTAAGAATCACTTTTATATATAGGTATAGATTATTATTATTATTATTATTATTATTATTATTATTATTATTATTAGAGGGGTAGAGGTACTTCGTGCCTTCACTAATAAAATATTAGAAAGTTGTGTATAATTATTTAAAAAAAATTAAGATTTTTTTTTATTTTTTATATTTGGGGGTATAATGGTAAAAAATGAAGACCAAAAAAATAGTTAAGTCTCGTATATCCCCTTATAATAGTTGTAGATTATTATTATTATGCAAAAGCAGTTCTAATTAATTAATAAAGGTGCAATTCTTTGTACAACGGCATAAAGAGGCAAAACAATTGAACTGACTACTGCAATACATAAACTAGTTCACCCATGCATATACAGCTACTTATTAAATTTTCTTACAATAAATAATAATAATATACATATCTGCAAAAATAAAGAATGTCCCACCATGCCTCCCTTCTCCGCTCCCACGCATATGCCAAAACCGGACAAGTTCTCAAGTAATCCTAAACTAACGCTTCTAGAAACCAAACCAAACCAAACCAACATATCTCAATCTTCAAACTGGTACCAATGTAAATTAATCAACACATGCTACCAAAAAAATCACGAAAAAAGAAGGGTATAATTTTCTAATGGTCAAGGCTGCACGAATTGACTCGACTAATATTATTATTATAGTAATAACAAGGTTTGAACAAGTCAAATTCCTTGGCAGCCACCATGATGAGGATCAGTTTCTTAGAACTATAGGGAGAACTATGACCAAGATTATAATGAGGAGCAGTATGATGGCGATGCAGGTCCACTTTCGGGTATTTTTCTGGTGCTTCCTGGCAACGTGCAACTGCTGGACCCCACCCCTGACGTACGAATTGGCTCGCGCCACGTGGCTCTCGATGTCGTCTAGTTGTTCCCCCTGCGACTGCACCAACACCGCCATGTCCATGAACACTTGGTGCAGCTCCTTCAGGTTCCTCTCTATCTCCTTCACCGTGTCGTGCCTCTCCTGAATCTCTTGAATCGTCTCCATCACGCTCGCTCTCCCTTGCTGCTCAATCGCTTTCTGCAAGAATCTTTCGCTTTCGCCTGTTCCAAGTTCGTTATTTTAATTAATTTTACTTCTCAATTTCCATATCACGTCACCAACCCTTTACTTAAAACAAAATTAAGACTGATAGATAAGTTTCAAACATTAATCATGGAGGCTTTCATATTACTGTCTATCTCAAAACCATATTAGATGACATAGGTTTTTTTATTTATTATTATTAAATCACAAGTATTAATTCACCATTCATGACCATGAATAATTGCATATAATCTACTGCTTAAGCAATTATATGCATGAAACTCCAATTAACGTTTGGCCCTATGATCAGTCTGATGATAAAAAACCCATGATCCAGAAGACCCAATTTACTTGATATTCATAAGTCTTTAAAATTATCTATAAGCTAGGAAACAAATTAAATACAAAATTTTGATTAGCATGCATGAACATTTATGAAACTATAAAGTTGTGAGAATTGTTGTATATATACCTGTAGAAATAAGGAGGTCAATAGTTTTGTCATCCGGGTTCTCTCCGGTGACAGTGTAGTATCTACGCTGCACGGTTTCCCTGTACTCTGACGATATCTGTTGTCTGAGGTTGTTGAAGCTGTCCATCGAGTCCTTCAGCTTCTTCCTCAGCCCACTCACCACAGAAGTTCTCGTCCGGTCCGAGGACGAACCGGGTCCCGAGCCGGGCAAGCTCCGGCTCGCTTCATTGGACCGGTCCAACGCCTCGAGCCGGATCTTGACTAGCTTTGCTCTCTTAAGAGCAAGTGCCACGTCAGCATCCATGCGAGAGCGAAGATCCTTCACAGCTTTTGCGCTGTGAAGGGTCTTGCTTTTCTCATGGGACGAACGTAGGCTCTCGTGGAGACGCTCCAACTCCTTCAGCTCCTCCTTCACCGACTCAACTTCCTCGAAGAACTTCTCTAGGTTTACGCCGCCGGAGGAGGGCGGAGACGCCATCTCGATCACGTGGTGGCCGTCCGGCGAGGCTTGCTCGGTGTTACGGGAGAAGGAGCCCGAGAACAAGTCGTTCATTTTATATATGGTTTGGATTTTGAAGTGGTGAATGAAGAAATATTGATCAAAGAAGTAATAAGATTAGAGAGAATTATTTGAAGGAGTGAATATATATGTATTGAGGAAAATTGTATATGGCTTGAGAATGGATGTATATAAATGGGAAGGTAGCATCTAAGGAAGAGTTTGAATTTTTCTTTAAATAATTAATAATAATAATAATAATAATAATATTAGATGGGTGGAAGTGGGCAAGACTGGTTCATATTGCAACAATTTTTTTAAATAAGTATTTTATTACGCAAGGAATAATGAGAAAAACACGGTTTTATTTTATGCATCGTTGATGAGTCTTGCACAAATGGTGGCTTTACAATATGTGTGAAAAATAAGAATGTGTAGAATGGTAGCAGACAGGGGTAACGGGTCAAAGGGGGTTTGGGTTGGGACAAATGGAAGTTTCCTACCTAAGAAATGGAAAATACAAGGAAAATTGGGAACAAAGGGAAGGGCAATAGCGGAAACCAGAAATAGAAAGAGAGAAAAATGGTGCCTTGGTTGGTTAGAGGACCAAGTCTTGCAATAGTCTTATTTTTATGCTGGTATACATATTTTAATTCAACCTTTTTTTTCCTTTTTCTAATTAACATTAAATGAAATGAAATAAAATGTCCAATATATAACGATTACATTCGAAACCAACTAACTCAAGTAACCAAACATAGTCAAGCTTCATCCGCATTATATAATGTATTAGGGTAAAAGTCGAGTTTAACTTAACTCGCATTAACTCGGATGTATTTAAAAATTAATTAAATTCAAAGCTTTTTTTATTTATTTATTGGAATCTGTAGTTTTTTTTTGTTAAACATGATTTTAAATTAGTATCTAAATATAAACCAAATAATAATTTTATTACTTTTGCATTTCATGTATTAAAAATAAAAATACATGGTGTGTAACGGCTGAAGATACTTATTCTGGATCGGGTTAAAAAGACTACACGAGCAAATTAATGTAGAAATTTTGGTACTTGATTCATATTTTTGTTGGGGGAAATTGAAACCGTTGATATGAATCGGAATGGAATGGTGATTGCTACTGCTCACAATTTCACAATGGATAGTGAAACGGTGGTAAAATTCTTAAAGCAATGAGAAAACCCCTAGCTAGTTTAGTTCTAAAATTCTTAACGAGTGTTTCAGATATCTCACCAAAATCTCATACTATTAGGATAAGATTAATCTGTTTTGATATTGTTAATCTGATAATAAATAGTTTGTTAGTTAATTTTACTGATAAGATTGATTTGTTAGAATTTGTTTTATTTGATTGTAATTCTGTTACGGTCATTCTATATAATGACTGTTTTCATAAATAATAAAGTCAAGCTGAAGATTCACATCAACTTCCATTATGGTATCAAGAGCTTGACGATTCTAAAAAAATTTTCGTCATGTCTTCTACAACATATCCACTTCCTACCGTTAATCGCGTTTTTGCTATGGTTACTCAAGAGGAATCACATAAAGCTATTGTTCGTTCTTTTGAGAACTCTATAGACGCGTTAGGTTGTGCCGCCACCACTAATATACCCACAAATACATCTAAGCTACGCATTCCCTGTACTCATTATGGACGTCCTAATCATGATGTTTCTCGCTGTTACAAACTCCATGGCTACCCCGATCGCCCTCCTGTTGGTCGCGGCCGTGGATGTGGTCGCACTTCGACAGGACGCTCTGCTTCTGCTTCTGCTCATGCCACTCAATCTGGTGTATCTTCCTATGATAGTGGCCCCTCCAAACCTTTATCAATTACTGATTTTACTCCTGAAATGCTTCAACGGTTGATGTCAATCGCTGTTTCCTCCAAAACGCCCACTGAAAAATTATGTGGTACAGTATCTTCCAAACACTCTTGGCTTCTTGACAGTGGGGCTTCCCAACATATGACTGGTACTGTCTCTCTTCTCTCTAACATATGCACCATCCCTCCTTGTTCAATAGGCTTACCCAATGGTGATCGTACTCTTGCAATTCAATGCGGGGATGTAGGCTTACATCTTTGTTGCTACTTACCAATGTTCTTTACGTGCCATCTCTTACGTGCAACCTGATTTCTATCTCTCAAATGCTACGCTCCAATAACTGCGTGAATGTATTTAATAATTCTAATTGTTTTTTACCGGACCTACAGACGAGGAGGACGATTGGACAGGATGTTGAGCATGAAAGGGGTGTATGTACTTTGCCAATCAGTTTTTGTAAATGCGACTCATGGTTCCTCTTCTTTCAATTTGTGGCATCGACGCTTGGGACATCCTTCTCAACAGTATTTGGATTTGCTGCCATTTGTTTCTAGTTCAAATAAAATAGTTTCCTGCGATGTGTGTTGTAGAGCCAAACAAACACGCTATTCATTCCCTATCAATAAAAAGCATAGTTTGCACTCCTTTGATTTAATCCATTGTGATTTATGAGGACCATATAGAATTCTTTCTGCATCTGGTGCTCGTTACTTTCTAACTATTTTGGATGATTTCAGTCGTCATGTATGGGTCTATCTTTTACGTGACAAGCATGAGGCATGTTCTACGTTAATAAAATTTATTACAACGGTGCAAACTCAATTTAATTCCATGGTTAAAAGGGTTCAATCTGATAATGGGACTGAATTTGTTTCTACCCATCTGCGTTCTTTCTTTGAAAACCGTGGCATTATTCAACAATTATCATGTACATATACTCCACAACAGAATGGTAGAGTCAAACGACGTCATCGTCATATTCTTAATGTGGCTCGTGCCTTGCGATTTGATGGACATCTTCCTATTGACTTGTGGGGTGAATGAATTCTCTCAACTACTCATTTGATTAATCGAACTCCCACTAAATTGCTCAATGGAAAATGTCCCTATGAAGTACTTCATGATACTCCACCCAGTTATGACCATATTAGGGTCCTTGGTTGTTTGTGTTATGCTACAGTTTTGCCTAAACCGTTTGATAAGTTTGCTGCACGCTCACAAAAATGTGTTTTTGTAGGCTACCCATCTAACAAAAAGGGTTGGAAGGTGTTTAATTTAGATACAAAGGAGATTTTTGTCTCTCGTGATGTTAAATTTTTTGAGGATGAATTTCCATTTGCATCACCTACCACGGACATTCCTCCAGCTCCCATACATCCTACTTCCACATCTATGATTTTGTATGAACCACATGATACTCGTACTTCCTCTTCAGATGTTGCACCTTTACCTGATCCAGAGTCTGTTGAAAGGGGGAGTTCTGTTGATACTTCATCTCCATCTTCCATGCCTCTTCGACGTACAAGTAGATCTCATCGACCACCGGCACATCTTAAAGACTATTATTGTCGCAATGCTACTAAACCCTTTTCTGCTAACACTCTATCTAGCGTTTCCCTCAGGTATTCTTTATCCTATTGAGCACTTTGTTACTAATCATAATTTTTCCTCACAACACCAAAAATTCTTAGTGGCTGTTAGTAACACCATTGAGCCACGTTCGTTTAAAGAAGCCATGAAGGATCCACTTTGGCAAAAGCTATGAAACTTGAAATTCAGGCTCTTGAGGATAACCACACTTGGGTTGTCACTTCTCTCTCTCCAGGAAAGAAAGCAATTCCTTGTAAGTGGATTTTTCGAATCAAGTATCATTCTGACGGCTCTATAGAAAGATACAAAGCTAGATTAGTTATTGCAGGTAATAACCAAATTGAAGGAGAAGATTATAATGAAACCTTTGCTCCTGTTGCAAAAATGGTGAGTGTACGCACTTTTCTTTCTGTAGCTGTTGCAAAAGGATGGGATATTTATCAATTGGATGTTCATAATGCTTTTCTCCACGGAGATCTTGAAGAAGAAGTGTATATGCATTTTCCTCTTGGTTTTTCTGTTGGTTCTCCTGGCTCTGCATGCAAATTACAACGTTCCCTTTACGGTCTCAAGCAGTCACCGCGAAATTGGTTTGCTAAACTTCGTGACTCTCTTCTTAATTTCGGATTTCAGCAATCCAAAGCTGATTACACGTTGTTCACCTTCACAAGAGATCAGGATTTCGTTGCGGTTCTTATATATGTTGATGATATCCTTTTGGCCGGAAACAACAAATCTGCTTGTGATCAAGTTAAGATTCATCTTAGCTCTTGTTTCAAAATCAAGGATCTTGGAAAACTTAAATATTTTCTTGGTATTGAATTTGCTCGTAGCTCCTCTGGTATATTTCTGAGTCAACGCAAATTTGCTATGGATATCTTGCATGAATGCGGATTACTTGGGTGTAAACCATATGATTTTCCCATGGATCAGAATCATAAATTGGCCCTTGCAGATGGTCCAGCTTACGATGATGCCACACGTTATCGACGTCTTGTAGGTTGCCTTCTTTATCTTACCATTACTCGACCTGAGTTGAGTTATGCTGTACATACACTTTCTCAATTTCTTCAACATCCACTCTAAGAACATTATGATGCAGTGTTGCGAGTCCTGCGTTATATCAAGGGTAATCCAGGTCAAGGACTACTTATCCGTTCCACTTGTGATCTTCATCTTCGTGCATATTGTGATTCTGATTGGGCAAGTTGTCCTATTACTCGACGATCCATCACTGGCTACTTTATCACACTCGGTCAATCCCCTATTTCATGGAAATCTAAGAAGTAACACACCATTTCTCGTTCCTCTACTAAAGCCGAATAACGTTCCATGACAGCTGCCACTTCTGAACTACTATGGATCAAAGCTTTTTTGCAAGATCTTGGTGTCTCTCATTCCATGCCAATGACACTATATTGTGATAGTCAATCTGCTATTCATATTGCTTCTAATCCAGTTTTTCATGAAAGGACAGAACACATTGAACTCGACTGTCATTTTGTTTGAGAACATGTGATGTCCAAAAATTCCACACAACACATTCGGACTGATTCCCAACCTGCAGATATTCTAACTAAAGCTCTCGATAGAAAACAGTTTCAATTTTTATTGTCTAAGTTGGGCATCTGTTTTGATATTGTTAATTTGATAACAAATAGTTTGTTAGTTAATTTTACTAATAAGATTGATTTGTTAGAATTTGTTTTATTTGATTGTAATTCTGTTACGATCATTCTATATAATGACTGTTTTCATAAATAATAAAGTCAAGCTGAAGA